AAATATGAAGAAAATGAAATGTATGGCAGTATAACTACAATAATTTCCACACTTTGGTTTAGACTTTGTGGTTTTTCTAGATGTTTAGGTTACTGGCAATCTTTAAGGGTTTTATGGCTAGTCTCAGTTACGAAACTAGAAATTTTCCGCATACGTCAGACATTTGGAGCGATTCTTTTTAAATGAAATTCTTTTTAAATCTTCCAGAAGGTCTGCTTGCAATGTTTGCATTTGATATTGATAACATCACAAAGCATACACAAAGAACACAATTATTCTCTCGTTTCGTTGCATTATCTCCTGCGTTTTTGATTCCTAACTTAACCCTGCGTGCTTTGTTAACCCTTAACCGGATTGCTAGTTATTATTTCAATAAATATTGCGTATTTCCAAATGATTAGGTGCAAGTAAATTTTCGTTGAAACATCGCAAGAGTTAATGCAGAATTAAATTGAAAAATTATTCTGAAACGCATTGTCAGCCTACTATGATAAATTCTCCCTAATTCAGATCGTGCACAAAAATAGACAATTTGGGAAGAGGAGATACGATCATTCGAGCTTTGCGCCTCGTTTATATAATTACCGATAATATACAATACCTATAAAAAATAAAAATATGATAATTGAAAATAAAATACTATAAAAACGAGCCGCAGGGCTCGAACGATCGTATCATTTTTGTGAACAATCCGAGCGTCGATTCGGGTGAATTTACTGTACTTCGCAGATGCGAAAAGCGCACGGATATCTCTCGCTATAGTTCGCAGCCCAAACAGGACGGTATCGAGAGAGGTTAGGAAAACGCGCAGTGTCCAAGGAGGTTGGACCTTTCCGTCAGAGTCCGGCTCGTCAGAGCTGGGACCTGGGAAAGCAACTTGCGGAGTACACGGGGTCGCCTATTAACGCGCCGGGGGGAAGTTAGGGTTGAAACTTCCCCCGGCATTCGCGGAGTTCCGTGCTGTACGTGTCGTCGATACGGAAAGGCTAAATGCAAAACCTTGTAAGGGGAGATGGTCTCGAGTTCCGACAGGCCAACAAAACATCCTCGCAATTAGCCGTATATTCCGATGACACCGGTGCAGTATCCCCGGGGGTTAGGGGGCTCGGCGGCGGGCAGGGGGGTCAAGCCGAGCCTCCTGGCACGCCCGCTAATTTTCGTTCCGTAGCTTTCAACCCCTTTCGCCTTGACCAATTCGACGCCCCGGCCCGGCAAAAATAAATAATGAAACAACCGGTTAAATAATAGAAAGTTTCCGGATTTATGTTCCGGCGAATTGAGCCTGCAGATTGAGCGGATCCGGGCGGCGGGGAGGACGGGCCGCCGGAAAATTCGTCGGACGAAATTGAAAAGTGGCCGGGAGATATGCCCCCGGACGCATATCGGTAGGCAGATGGATGAGGAGCGGGGTCGAACAGGGGATTGAAACGGACAAACGGACGTGAAAAAATACCCGGCGGAGTCCGATCGACTGAAAAGTGCTCACGGATCCGAGCACGCGTGTTTTCCCCGGCTCTGTTTTCGCTCCGTCGTTCGCCGCTCTAAGGGAGAAGTTATTGAAATGAATTATGCCCGGCACGCCGTGCGCCGGGCTTTGTTGATTTTTACCGATTGACGACTGGACGGCGCTGTCGAACGCCGAGGTCGGATGCGTTCGACTTAGCGTAATCTCTTCGACTAGCGACGCAGTTTTTCCAACAGCACAGTTTGCCCCGATGATTCGTTGCATATTTGTTCGCTTATTCGCGAGGCTGGTTTCGATTGTCGCGGGAGCCACCAATCTGTTGATTAATGCGCGTTTCGTTTGTTCCAGGTGCCGGAGTCGGGGGACGATGCACGGAGTATCGTGACGAGAAGAATGGGAGATTCGGTTAGAAATTAAAAAGAATGATGCGAAGATCGGAGACTGCGGACGTTAGCTTTTGGCTACTTCGAGCTGGGCCCAAATCTCCCGGAAGTGATGGATCTTGACGCATTTTGTGTAGATTATGGGGTATAACGTGGCGGCGGCAGGCGACATATGAGTCACCCTGCTCGTAGGCATCTACTAAGTTCTACCATTTTATATTTCCATGTCATTTCCGTGGCATGTCACTGCCCCTGCTGCGAAACTTCAGGAATTCTACCAATTTGCAACAATTTAGGGTCTGAAAATATTCCTGGATGTGGTTCCTCTCATTGAGAAGATCTTGGTCCAATTAATAATTGAAAGTAGCTGCTGGAGAATTAGAATTCAGACGATAATTCGGTAACGTTAAATCAAAATGGACCCACAGCTGACGTGAAACAATTGCCATTTAGCCATCAGCAACGACTTGGACTCGCAGTTTCTGAAATAAAATAGACAAACAGCTCCAGACACGTTGCAAGACTGTTGAAAAAGCAGTTACGAAGTCACCAGCCGAGAATCTACATTTAAAACCATCGTATGATCATCTAATTATCATTAGCGACTATATGGATCTGCGGATTTTTGAGTAAATTCAATTACCATTTCACTAAACAGTCTAAGACGATCAAGACAACCATCACAACAGTCTAAGAACGATTACGCACGATCCACAACGATCACATTACCCAAAGATTCACATGCAATCCCATCGAATGATTATTTAATCACATAATTAGCAACAACCTGAGCCTACAATTCCCTAATAAATTTAATTATTAATGGACGGAACAACCTAATAGGACTTAGATGAACAGTATTACAGTCTACGAAAGATTAGACACAGTCCAGTGCGATCTACATTGATCAGTGACGTCTAATCACCATTTGCAGCAACCTGAATCAACAATTCCTTAGTCAATTCAATTATTGATTGTAACACCTGCCTAAAAGGATTTAGACAACGATTGCAATAATCCAGGAAGAACTAAACACAATCTAAAATGATCACAAAATCCCACCACCCAATGATCCACATTCTAAACTGATCCTACGATCATCTAATCATCACCTTTAGCTACCACCCGAACCTGCAATACCTTTAACAATTCAATCGTCAATTGACAACCGGAAAATCTTCCAAGACTATGACAGTAAAAGGAGGATTAGACACAGCTTAGAAGAACGATCACAAAATCCCACCAACGGTCCACCACCATCAGAACCGATCCTACGATCGTCTAATCACCTTCAGCTGCCGCCTGAGCCTGCGGTACCTTTAAAAATGCAATTAATAATTAACGAGACCGCCGGAAATGCTTCGAAGACTATGACAGCGAAAAAGAGGACTTAGGCACAGCTTAGACGAACGATCTATCGCGACCGGCCACGTGGGCCGGAATGTCGATCGAAGATCCACGGGGGTACTGGCCGGCCGGTTTCGAAATTGGCGCCGTTTTGGAGGTGGCTGGCAGCCATTAGGTTGCCCCCCGTGACATTCAGAGGGAGAGGATGATGGTTCCATCGAGTAGGTAGTGCCTAGACGGGGCTCCACCCAGCACTTAGTTCACGTCGTGACTGTGGCCCGGGGCACGGCCGTTTCCAGGGTACAGTCACGCCCCTGCCGTGCCAGTACTGTACTCCGATTCGCTGGCCCATATCTCATCTGGTCCATCGCATTAGCCTAATCTGCCAACTACGAGAGGAATAGAGGGACGGGGGAAAAAAACAACCGAGCAGGGGAATAAAAAAAAGCCGAGCAAAAAGAAAAAACGCGGCCATCAATGGTTACCCCCGCCGACGCGAGATCGCTTGGCGAGGTGCTGCCACCTTCGGACGAATCGCGAACGCTGCCGATCGATGTTTCCTTTTTTTTATTCCCTCTTTCCCTCCCCTAGCTCTCTCGCTCGCTTTCTTGCTCTGTCCCTCCCTCTCTCTCTCTCTTTCTCTCTCTCTCTTCTTCTCGCTTACTCTCTTTTCAACAGGACTTTACCTGGAACGTTTTCCGCGTTCGCCTCGATTCCTTGATATTCAGGGGAACATCCCTTGATCCGCGACGTGGACACCATCCGCGATCCGATGACACCTCAGCCCCGATTTTTCATTGTCATCGGAGGCCCCCTGGTGCCGTCCATGGGAACTATGCGGGCCGTATACTAGAATCGGGAAGCTCCGGACTCCGCGAGGTAATTTCGCTTTTTAAGCTTAAGTTGTGCTTTGAATCCCTCGTCTCCCGGTTTTAAGGTATTTCCGCGAGTTTTTTGGCTACGTAGATAGCACTTTTTCGAAGGGGTTGTTGCAGTAGTTCGACTCTCGGTTGTTGGTTCTAGAGGCAAGGTTTTGGTTTCTTGGATAGGGTGAGTTACGTTTGAACTTACAATTGAAACATGTAGCTGAATGTTTTAGTTCATTATTATTATACTGACAATTAAATATCGATCGATATGTAACGATATTTGTACTAGAATTTAGCCATTAATATATACTACTTATCCGTTATCAATTATAGTTCCATTTGACTAGGACTTTTGTTGAACTTTCTTCTGTTTCTACACAGAATCTGGATATTCTGGATACATATATCTTAATTCTTCAATTTAAAAAAATCCGGAAATTTAACTTTAAGTCCACCGAGCACATAAAATACCGTATCTATTTAAACCTTTAATTCGAACAACTGCAGAACTAAAAACGTGAAACCGGCCATTTTGATTAAAACCGATAGATTTAGTACCAAACAATATAATATATTTCTCTTACCACATAGTAATTGCTTAACGCAAACAAAGCTATGCGATGTTTCCTTGGCATTTTCTGAATGGTCGCGTTCATTGACAAAAAGATTGCCATTTTCGCACGGTAGTCAATAATACACCGACCGCAATAGGTTTTCGAAAATCATTCGTTACCTACCTGGTATTCTGGAACCAATAACACCATGGCCATGTTGGGACCTCATCGGCCGCAAACCGCGCGTCATTGTTTTGCCCTTCGGTGATCGTGTTAGGCCGATATACAATGACTGTTGAGCGTTTCGAACTCCGTGGAAAAGAAGGTCGGTATCGCGTTCGAGCAATAAACTTTTTATAGTGAATCTTAGGAACACGGACTCGGTGCGGTCTGCGAGTCAGTTCGCGTTTCACGCCGGAAGAGGAAGCAGTGCGCCGTGACGTCGTCCTATGGACATCCTGAACTGGTAGAGACGGCATGGAAATCGGTGAGTACGTTTTGCATGCGATTTCTTGTTCTATTGTTCTGATAGGAGACGCTCCGATCGGCAGCGAGTTTGAACGCTGTGGTTCTGTCTAGCGACGGGGAAACGAGGATGCGGAAAAATCGGAAACATCTATTATTCTCTTGAAAAAAGATAGCAATTTTTGTAGCTGGGATCGTTGGGCAATTTATTTTTCATTATTGGAATCGGTTCGTGGAAATTTATAGCATCGCAAGTCCTTTTGGTCTTCTCTTGACTTATTCGATTTGTTCCTCGTTATTATAGCCAGATTGTAGATCTTTTATTTATGAAATAATAAAGTATACGTAATATATAAATAAATAATATATTACTATAAAGTAATATTTAAGAAAGTTATAGTATCAGTAGAATAGACTTTCTCGTATTTATCCAGTCCATTCTTGCGAAATAATACTTTTTGGAGTAATTTCTAACAGTCTATGTTTCACAATTAAACGACTCATCTTAATTTACATTGTAAATCTGTCAATAACTGATGGCAATTTCGTTTGAGCGCCAACAATTCACTTTCAGTGACATACTGATTAAATTTTCTTTAAAAGTACCGTTTAAAAGAATATTTTTTAAGCTTCTCTTTGATATAACGAATAAATCATAATGAATGAATCATACGATTCTCAAATTTTTCTGCAGTAAAATCATCGAGGCATTATTTCGCCGTTATTTCGTTTATTATGAAACGAAAGTCTTAAATGTCGTTACGACCTTCCTTGTCTGATACTGCGTTCAATACGTTCAAATACAGAATACGTTCAAACTACAGATCATCGGAAGACACGTAAATAATATTTTTTGCGTCTCGGATTTCGAATCTGTTTGAATAAGATCGCAAACGCGTAGATTCGAGCGACGCAAACGCGCTCGGATCGAGCTAATAAAATTTATCGCCCGATAAAATCGTATTAACCGCCGGCTAAATATCCGCGAGCAGCTTTAGCGATGTAACAATTCGCATTACACGATTCGTAATTTAATCAGACTGCAGCGGCACCGTTGGCCGCCATTCCACGGGATTAGAGGGGCGATTATGAACGAATACGAAGTATTACGAGCCATATTACTTCAGCAACGTAATCCATTACCACCCTATTATTATCGAAGCCCGGCAACAAATCACTGCTCCCGTTTCCTATATTTTTTACACTTGAAAACAAATATTCGCATTATTGCATCCACAGAGAAATTTATCTCGAATCTGTGAAATGCAAGAGAGCAGAAAAAGTATCAGTCTAGTTGACATCGTAAATCATAGCTATCAATTTTGATTTCATTCATCAGGCTACTTGTGCGATTGTGTTCGCTTTTCAGGAGAACTTAGTTCATTTTTTAGCAGAATTTAGTTTGCTTTTCAGTAGAATTCTACTCGCTAGTTTCGCATATGTTTACACAGTAAAGTTTTTGCATCGAAGTCCGCAGTTTTCGTCGTTGCAGCTAAAAAACTTTGAACGAAACTGAGACGACTGGTACGTGGCAGTCATAAACAGACTGCAGATTTTAAGCATTTATGTCAGAAATGATTAAATCGAACGTGAAAAGCATTCGAACATTTTGCAACTATTATCGAATGACCGTCAACCGATTAAAATAATTAAAAGAGAAATATTGCGACGATCTTTCCAAATTCTTCCAACGTTCCATCCGTTTCCATGTGTCGTCTTTTCGTCGTGAATGCATAAAATCCGTCGTCCGACAATAAGTCAAAGAGAAATCTCTGAGCAGGTATAGCGAACGCGTTGTCAATTTACAGAACGGTTCCTGTTAAGGGAATTGGCTTATTTGCCGCGCAATGACGAAACAAATCGTCCAGTTTCGAATTGCCCGACATAAATCCTGGTTTCCCCGTGGCGTGTACGAAGTTCCACAAAGAGGACCAGCCGGCCGTCCAAGAAAAAAGCCAGATGTCGGCGGAGAGCCCCACGGTCCCCGAAGTACTGCGACGATTTTCGGGCCCCATAAATTGCTCCAATTTTCGAAGGAAAACGCGGCGTGACACGTGTGTGCCTCCGGAGCGGCTCCGGGGTTCCTTCGAGTCGGAACAGACCTGCGAATCACCATTATTGTTCCCTGCCAAGGTCAAAACGTGTTGCGCAACCGACAAGACAAAAGAAACACGTGAATATGAGGGCACAATTGGTTCCGCGGGATTCCGGGGCATTCCGGACCCCGGGACCCGAGCCTTTATTCACCCAAACCCTGAATATTCTCTGCTGTGGTTTCGAAAGTAGAGCAGAAACCTTTGTCAGCTAGCCTCGAGCTTCGGATTCTATAGAAATTCACCAAAACGAATCCTCAGCTGAGAATTGCAGACTTCTAATGCCGGAGTTAGAAGAATTTTCATTATTACAGGGCGCTAGTTTTACTTTTTTTTTAAATAGTATGACTGAGTTCTAATTATCTAGAAACGCGCTTTGATTATTTCTTGTTGTCTGTCAATTATTTTGCCTTTGGCTGGTTTATGGCTTTAAGTTGGCGTCTATCGCGTTCTAAGGGTTGAAAGGTACAGTCTTTGTTAGGTTATTTAGTAATTATTTAGAGCAGCCATATACTCCAGTAGATATTTATTCATTTATTTAGAACTAAATTCAGAAAAAAAATTATTCTCTTTTCGACTACTGCAAGTAGAAAAATACACGTCTACCCTATGTAGACGTTAAGAACTTAATTCTATTCGATTTAAATGATTTCATGTTACCAGTGGAAAAGTGAATTTTTATTAAGTATTGTAAAGATATCAGATTGTATAGGGTTGTTCGAATTCTCTGCTGTTTCTGCGGATAAAATCCAGAATCTTGTATGCTCTATTGACAATGGATTGAATGTCCTCATTGGATGACAGATTTGACGAAAATAGTTCTTTTAATACTTCATTCACCCTGTGCTCGATAGATCAACGTTGCTTCGCGACGATTAAAAGTTCGACCAATGATTAGGGGATTCTCGAGAAGATTGCAAAACACTCGGAAAAGGGATGGACGCAAATTGAGTTTCCCTGGATTTTTCTTCCGCCGTCGTCTCTAGGAAATCTAGAAGCGCGTGTCTCGCCGCGAAGTTCCGAGCGTTATAAATCGCAATTAACGGAATCGTCGTGTACTCGAAGAAGTTTCGCTCGACAGGAGACGAGAGCGAGTTTCGACGCGTAGGAGATCGGCGGTCCCGATCTGCCGCGAATTGATTATTCAGTGGAAAACTGAGGCAACGATGGACGATAGGGCGCGGGAGGCTTAAGCGTTCGTTTAAATTAATTCACGAGGTTGTTAGGCGTTAAGCGCGGTATTAGTTATTAGCCTGGTGTTAATTATTAGATGAAACGAAGTAACACGGCGCATTGTGTGCGAAATTAGCCGGCGGCGTTCGTTATGGTCCCCGGCGCCTCCGCGAATAAATATTTCGTTCCATCAAGTGTGCGCGTAATTTGTTGCAAGAAGCGATACGCGTGACTTGTACGCGACGCATAAATTTTGCCGCAGGTGGTGCACGGTTCTCTTTTTCGTATTTTTCTTGCACGAGGTGTGTATTGGAGCAGTTATCGCGCGACCGACGCCGAGGCCCCTTGTCGCTCGGTTCTCTATTCAGTCCAAATTATTCTAGCGATATCGAAGCGAAATACCGTGGCGACGAAAAAATCTATTTCGTTCCGAGCTTGCGATGTTATGACGAATGGCGGAGCGACGCGCGTAAATTATTTAAAATTGCGGCTGTGCGTAGACAAGAACGATAATTGGCCGTTAATTTCTCGTTAGTCTAATGCTTACGGTCGTTTTTCCATACATCATTTTTGAAGAGTTCGTCTTATCGGCTCACCTAAATACGACGCTCTTATCGTCCGGCTCCTCGTGCTCGAGGCAACGCCGCCGATTGTCCGACGGAATATGCGTGTTCTTCGATTCGTTGTGATTTACGGGCGCGTTGCAGGCGTCAAACGTCCGCGCGAAAAAACTGATTTACGGTTTACGGACCGATATCCGAAGATTCGGAGCAACTCCTGCCCGAGTGAAAATCGTAGCACGGCGGGATCGTTCTTTAATTAAACGTCTCACTTATTAACTTGTCGTATGATTACCCATTGACCTCTGCCAAGCCGGCGACTACGGGGCACATTTATCTTTGCTAAATTACAGAGCTCTCACTATCATTTTCCGCTTCTGGACATCACAACATCGCCGCTATATTAATTGCCGGCGTTGTTAGAGCTGCCTTGTGCCGTCCCGATCGATCTCGCGAGGAAAATCTCGTTTCAACGGGCGCGCAATTTTCCTAATTGTTTAACGATGAACCGGCGCCGATAGCGTAATTGGGTTCAAACCTGAGGGACAAAGAAGCGGGACCGTGGCCATTACGGGAACCTTACGTTCCTTTATCTGCGCAGCCGTATAATTAGTCGGAATTGAAATTAAATTCAATACAACGAAAGTCGCCGATCGTATCGAGTCTCTGTTACACCCCCGATCGCTGAAACGCTGCTTCCCGTAAATACCGGACGAACGGTAAAAACGCCGTACGATGTTTCATCCCCGTTCAATTAAATAGTTATCGAGGCAGTTTCCATTCCGTCGACGTACTCGCTCTCCGCGCTCTTGTTGCAATTTTTATGCGACTCCACGGATTTCGGTTGTTTTTCAACGGACTTCGATTAATCTCGCCCGTAATGCTTCGCTTGCTACGTTCATTCAATCAAGCAACCGGCGAACAAGTTTTCATTCGGTTAATTGATCCGTTATGCTCTTGTTACGAATTTTTGTTTCTTCGTCGTTGTCGAGATTGTTCTTCTCGTCTTGCTTCGTGTTTTATTACAATTTCAATCGAATTCCACCGACTCGCGAAACGAACTACGAAACGCTTCTTTTCTGACAACGTTGAACACGATCGTCGCGCCGATTCTCCGAGTTAACTTCAAACGGATCTCGGAACAACGTCAGATATTAAACACAATAAATTCCGCCGTCGCGGCGGACAATATAATT